TTGCCACCCTCCCCGCCCACTTCCTGAAGCTGGAGCTCAAGAACAGACCCAGCACTGTGACTCTTGTTGGCTTCTGAGGTTATGTTCGTTCTACTTGGTTCCACATTAACCCCCCCCACCCCCCAAAAAACCAAACCCATCCGCGATGTGAAGCCAATGACGTGTCAAGTGGTGTCCGTAATTGTACATTTGATGTGTGTGTATATATAATGGACTGTAGAACTCATTTCCTAGTTTTAATTGAATGAGCTGTAAATTAAAACCTTTCCTTGAGGGAGGAAGGGGACAAGCCCCCCCTTACTTAACAAATCCACTGTGAAAACCGGAGGACGGGTTTCCCCTCCCCATCCAGCCACAGAGGCATTTGAAAGGGCCAGGGAACGGAGGCGTTATCTGGCTTGTGCTGTATGTGAGCACAAAATGCACATGGCATATGTGGATAATGTTTTATAATGAATAAGCTTTCTAATTTTTTTTCCTTTCTAATACATATTTGTGTGTATATGTATATATATATTTTTAAATCACGGATGAAGATATAAAAATTAATGGATATGTGGCTAGTGGGTTTGGTGAATGACTAGCAATTTTTTGGTTACATGTGAGGTAGCCGGAAAGGGTCACACCAAGGCCTAACAATTGTGGGGTGTTTTGGTGGTTTTTTTTTTTTTTTTTTTTTTAAATGCATCTTTTTAACGGAACCTCTTTAGGGACACCTTCTGGAGCTTTGTACATGGGACATCTGGCTTTCTGGATCAGCTCCATTAACTTGGGCTCTGCCCCTTTACAGATCAGCTTCCCTGAGTTCATGACTCTTGGTATTCTGCTGCATAGTTAATCTAAGGGCTTGTCTACACGGGAAATTGACTGAAGTTGCTTTGCAGCCTCTATCCTGGAATGAGCCACTTTTTATTTCACTGGAATTTTGTGCACTTCCAAAACAGAGCAGTTATTCCAGGATAAATTGACTGCTCTTGAATAGTGTCCTTCAGTAGCTTTATTGCAGGATAGAGTATTCTGCAACCGCTATTCCAGTGGATTGCCCGTTCTAGAACATCCCTTCCACAACCAGCACAGTTGATCAGTGGCTAAGCCCTGTTCTGTCATTCAAGAGCCCTTTTAGATGTACCTGTTGTAAGAAAGTGACTAACGCTTTCAACTTTATTTTTCCTTGTTGGTTAGTGGGGATTGTTTTTTATTTTTTTTTTTTATTTTGACTTTTTCCTCTCCCCCGCCCCCTGGTGTTTTGGGGATTGACTTTCATTTATTGCATGGGTTTCGGATGCCTTTCCTGCTGCTGATAAAGCTCTGCTTGGATTCCAAATCTTCGCCTTATGGCCTTTGAAGGACTTTTCTTCTGCCTTAGTATAGGGGGCATCCTATCTGGGAATGAATCTCGCCTCCTGTGACTGACCTAAGGCCTGGGTATGGTTCTGCCAGCCTGCACCAGGAATCAGTTGTGCTTTGGGTTAGTTGCATTTTATTTCAGCTTTACCATTCTGGTATGTGCCCTTGTTTTCTTCCTCTCCGAGGTCTTTATTCTGCTTTCCCTTCATGGATGGTTGGAAGAATGCCAAGTAACTGCTTGGAAGCCAGCTGAGCTTGGAGACAGTGTTGTTGCCATGGGAAAAAGCCCTCTCACCTTGTGCTTAGGAGAATGGCCTGTAACCATTAACTAAGTGATTGTTTGCAATAAAATAACCCTCCAAATGAACTTCTCCTGAGCTTTTCTTTGAACAGCAGCACGTGCTCATTCCAGCTGCCCCTAATATCGGTCTGTATTTTCAGTGTCGGCATTGGTATTGAAACAAATGCCGTATTGTAGGAATGCCCCTGCCTGTTGGAGCTGGGCCCCATGGTGCCAGGTCCTGTACAGACATGTACCAAAAGACTGTGTCTCCCCCCGGAGGCTGCAATCTTAGTTTAAATGTGACAACATGGCCATGCCACAGCTGGGGAAAGTCAGGGCGCCAGCAGCGTGTGCCAGTTGTAGAGGTACTGATATAAGCAATGTGTAGGCTAGTGGGCAGAGCACTCATGGTCTGTTCCTGGCTTGCTGAGGGACAGTGGGCAAGTCTCTTTGCCGCTCTGTGCCTCAGTTTCCCCTCCTGGGCAATGGAGCTAGTGACACTCCCCACCTGCAGAAAGAGCTCTGAGAACTACAGTGAACAAGTGCTTGTTCTGTAACCTGAGTCCCAGCCCTGCCTGTCCTGGCCAGGTAGAATCTTAAGCCGGTTGGAGGAAGTACAGAGCTTAAAGAGGGAGAGAATGGCCTACACCAGTTAGCAGGGACTCCAGCCCTTGCCCTGAAGAGCAGGATCCATGAATTCTGTCCTCCGGGGCCGAGGGTGGCTGTGGAAGTGGTTCAGTTTTGTCTGGAGCGATCCAAACCCCTCTTCACTCCTGCCAGGAAGAGCAAGGAGATGCAAGGGGGCTTTCGGACTTCCCCTGGGCCACAGCCATTGCATCCCCCAAAAGCTCTGGATCAGCACCTAATGCAGACATGCCTCCAGTGCTTGGTTTGTTCAGAAATTGGCGTCAGACTGAGGCTCTTGCCTCCTGCATCAGCTGTCAACCAGGCTGCTCCAGCCTCCTTCCTTTCCTTAGCCCTTCAGTCGCTGTGTGGAAACCGTAGCACCAGAGCATGGTTATTTTTAACCGCTTGAGCCAGCAGTGCTATGAATAAAAGATCAGTAGTGGAGGGAGCCTAATGCGCTGAATCTTTCTGAAAAGTCCCTTGGGTGGGGTCAGGCTGACAGAGGAGGCTCTGGAGGAAGCAGGCAGTGAAGACTCTACACCTTAGTGCCATGTAACAGTAGTGGGGGTTTCGCCTCCGGTAGCCCTCCAGCTGTTCATGAGAACACACAGTGCTTTTTTTTTGTGATGGTACTGCCCGGTACGAAGTACTGGCACCTCCAGACGCAGTCCTGGCACCTCCAGTCAGAGTTTACCTGGAAAGAACGGAGTGTACTGGTGCACCTGTACGCAAATATCTGACAGTCGACTGGGCTGTGTGTCTTAAAGGGGCTATGTCTCTTAAAAGGGCAATGCTGGCCCTACTCTGGCTTTTTTTCCTCTACCTTTCCCCTGGAGTACCAGCACCCTTTTTTTTTTATATACAAAAAAAAAAAAAAAGCATTGAACACAGATGGAAGAGGCTAGCTCTGTATTCAAACAGGCTCCAAGACTGGGACCCAGACCTGATCCCCTGGCTGCCTTCTGAACAGCAGTTCTTGGACTAATCACCCACTTCCTGACTAACCCTTCTCTACTGGGAACGTGTTAGTTTCCCGTTGCCTTATGACAGTGGTGCCCAACCTTTTCGAGCATTCGTACCCCTTTTCCATCTGTTAACATTTTACAGATTTCCTCCAAGGGAAGCGGCACCTAGCGTGTCCCTTAGCCCACACCTCTTCCTCAACTCCTGCCCCCTCCATTCCCTGCCCATCCATGGAGAATAGGGCGAGGGGGATCTCGTGGCTAAAGGCAGCTCCTGCCTTGGCCGGGCAGGGAGCCCTGTGGAAAGAAAACGGAAAGAAAAGTAACGACGGGCCCCACAGTGGGATGCCTCCTGGGGTATCAAGATCCCACCCTGAGGGGGGAGGCAGCGTGTGTGTGGCCGGTTGCAAATGGCGAGCCCTGGGTGAGAATCATCTGGTGGAAAGTCCCAGGCCCGTGGAGGGGCCAATTCTTCCTTTTCTTTCCTAAACTTTCCGCAGACCCCTCCCCCCCATACACAGTTCCACTGCGGCCCACAGGGAGGGAGCCACTGCCTTACGGGGTCTGTTCAGCTGATGACTTAAATTTGGGGTTTGCTTCATGGGCAGCAAGTGAGCCCCCTGTTCAGGGAGGCTGGTCCCCTGCCCTGCTTTCCCCTCCCTGAGTAGCCCCAACTCCCCCATCATGGCTCAAGCTGCCCCGGACAGTCCAAGCCCTGAGCACGGGGCGGTCAGGCTGCCCCTGCCCTGCTTTCCCCTCCCTGAGTAGCCCCAACTCCCCCATCATGGCTCAAGCTGCCCCGGACAGTCCAAGCCCTGAGCACGGGGCGGTCGGGCTGATCGGAGCCCCCTGCTGGCTGTGGGAGGAGTGAGGGCAGGTCTTTGGAGCAGAGCCATGATCTGGGGTTGAGGGGGTTGGGTCTCCCCTGGTCTATTAGATGCACCACCCATGACTTATTCTTGTCATTTCTCACATGCAACGTGTATAGATCGGGCCTCCCTCCCATCCCCAGCCATTGCCTTCGCTGGCCCTCCTGTGTTGATCTCTTCTTGCTTACACCAAACCTGCCCTCCCCACTGAGGCAAGATGAATTTCAGTTGAAAGCTGGTTGAAGGAAGGAGGACAGAGTTCTCCCAGCTCTGGGATCCCTTTGTGCCTATTTACCCATCTGTGAAATAAGGCCACCTTCCCGATCAGATCCCTGACCTGATGAGGTCCCATAAGACGTGGTGTGAGCTGGAGGGCATTGAAATGAGCAGCCACACTGCTTATTTCACACATTTGCACTAAGAGCTCTATAAAGATGCCCTGCTGAAACATTCACTGCAGTGCGGCCTTTTCTCTTTAAATCTAAGGCAGCTGTAAAATTGCTGGTTCCTCATTTGTATTACAATAGTATTGAGAGGGCCTAGACACAGCTAGGGCACTATTGTGGCAGGCACAAATGCCCACTAACAACTTACAAGGTCTTCA